TCGCAAAACATGGCAAGCCTTTTTCAGATGGAGACCAGTGGAAACACTACTTCGTCAAAATCACTGAAATAATATGCCCGGAAAAAGTGCAGGACTTCAACAACGTCAGCATGTCCAGAAATACAGTTGGCTGGATGGCCCGATTTACATAGCCAGCACAGCTGATACTCACCAGAATAATTTACTAAAATTATATGCACTCCTGTTATTAAGTCCAGTTCAGTCTGTTAATGTGATAACGGTTTCAAACGAACGTTAATAGGTGTGTTGCTAAGCCTAATAACTTAATAGCCAAATACCAAACTTGAAATTTACCCATCCTATTTTCCCCTTTATTGTTTTTTTCTCGGGCAGCACGGTGGCAAGGTGGTTAGCACTGTTGCCGCACAGCAAGAAGGTCCTGAGTTCAATTCCACCATCAGGCCGGGGTCTTTCTGTGTAGAGTTTGCATGTTCTCCCCGTGTTTGCGTGGGTTCTCTCCGGGTACTCCGGCTTCCTCCCACCATCCAAAGACATGCAACTTGTGGGGATAGGTTAATTGAATAATCCAAATTGCCACTAGGTGTGAATGTACGAGTGAATGTGAGTGTGAATGGTTGTCTGTCTCTGTGTGTTAGCCCCGCGACAGACTGGCGACCTGTCCAGGGTGTACCCGCCTCTCGCCCCATGACAGCTGGATAGGCTCCAGTGCCCCCGCGACCCTGAAAAGGATAAGCGGAAGTGAATGGATGGATGTTTTTTTCTCTGTACTGTAAATCTTCTATCTAAGAAGAAATCTACTGCTGTTCTGAGAATGAGCTACCAAAGATTTTCTGAATAAATCAATAAAGATCCATTTATGGAAAGCTGTGATAAAGGCAGTTTTGTCTTTAATTATATTCAACAATGTAACATATTTGACCACTTTTAAGTGATTTTTCTAACTTTAATACACTAAAGTTAAGGTTATATACCTAATTTCTAGTAAGTGGCCCAGCCCCTCCTATATTTTTATGTATGTGGCCCTCAGTGAAAAAAGTTTGGACACCCCTGTCTAAGGCTGTTGAAATATGTTCTCCACTGATATAGAATTGCTCGGCTGTCAGTTTTCCTTTTATGATGGAGATGCTGCGAGATTTACTTGTCTTAAACTCCATTCTTGCCCATTCGATGTTTTCCTGGAGCTTCTGTAGTAATTGCCTTGTACATGGTTTTGTTGTTTTAATGATGGTCATGTCATCCATGAAACCTAAATTAACCTTATAGTTTCAGATCTCAGGAGTAAAATGGAACTTTTAAGATCATCACAGTTTATTCTGGGAGTGTTTATTTTGAAGGAGAGAGGGAGATTTTATTAGAATGAGTGTGTAATCGTCTCAATACTCTTACCGTGTGTTCACACCGAACGGGATAGACGCGACCAAAATCGTGCCAGATGCCCCTAACTTGACGCGTGCAAATTCACACCTCGACGAGTGTCCAACACGAATTAATCGCGTGTGAACCGGAAATGTGGGAGGAATGTGGGAGGAAGTTGTGCCAGAAGGTATGTTTGCAAGATCGCAGCTGTCGAGCTAGCGTTTGAAGAGAGAATCTCCTTCTCTGTTTACTGTGGAGAGCAGAGCAGCAGAAGTGGCGGCGCGGAAGGCAGCGGCGGCGAAAGAGCTGGTTCGGAGGCCGGCCCGCAGAAGGCAGTGGCGACCTTGTTCAGGGGGCCGCCCTCGACAGCGATGACGGCCAGCTAAAGGCCTGGAAAGTGGCCGGCAAAGGCGAGGAGGTTCAGGCCGAACTGGTTTGGACAGTGGTGTAAAGGCGGCAGAGGCTGGACAGGTGACTCATAGGCTGGACCAGGCGAAGCTGATGATGAGGACCTTCTTGCTGTGAGGCAACAGTGCTAACAACCATGCCACTGTGCTGCCCTTAATAAAAATAAAAACAGAAAGTGATGTTGACAGGAGTGTAAAGTGAGCAGAAATCACAAAGTAAAAGAGGACATTTTTTGAAGCATGCTTAATCATCTAGATAAGGAAATCCCAGGAATTTGATTCCGTTCATCTGGACGTAGCATTATCATTGGGGAAAAAAGTTTCTTCATTCATCCAAGTGACTTCTTCAGTTTCCGCTAGGGATGGTTATCAAAAACCGGTTCTTGTTGAGAACCGGTTCCCACTGTTTCAATTCCTTGGAATTGTTTGCCATTTTTTGCAAACGATTCCCTTATCGATTTCAGTCTCCCCGAATTACGTCACCACGTTGCGGAGCGTCATTTACCTGGCAGGAAACACGGCGCCTAAGCAGCTCAAACGCTTCATAGTTTGGTTATACTTTACGAGAACGGATGACAACAGGGCAACTTGCAATACTTGCAAAGTAGATATTTCATTTAAGGGAGGAAACACTACGAATATGCAAAAGCATTTGCTCACAAAACACGCGATGACCTTAAATGAATGTCATGTTTTTAATTCCGCTCCGGACTCGTGAATCTCAACCCAGCAGCAGCGGTAACGTTTGCACGTCCTCTCCCGTTAATGCGGCAGGTAAATAATCAACTAACAGTGCATATTATGTTAGCGCGATCTGCCTTATTACAAACCTGCCATCACTGTGCATTTAGTGACCATGATGAGACAGACAGAGTCTGGCTCAGACGCTGGCAGTTCTCGCTGCAGTCTACCGGTAGCGTCTCCTTTCAGGCCAGGATAGACGAATGTCACCAAGCAGTGACTAAGTTTGTGGTAAAAGGCTTGAACCCATTTGCCACAGCAGATGATTTTCAGTAAGTGAATGTGTTTAATTGTAGGCAGGGACATTACTGGATATTCTTGTGTAATTGCTACAGAATAATTTATGTTATACTTTGTTATTGCTACAGAAGAATATTTATTTTATTATTTTACATTTACAATTTTTTCCTGGGGACCCTGTGACACCCCATTGAAGAGCCGTAGGCTGGATCTCTTAAGATCTCACTGTTGGTTTGTAAGGCCATGTTACTCCTAAATTTCTATCTTGTTCAAAGAGAAGATATAAAACAAAGTTCTAAGTTAATCGACCTTAGTGTTCTCCTTTTTAAAAAGTATCGATAAGAGAATCGATAAAGAATCAAATCGTTAAACAGAATCGAAAATGGAATCGGAATCATGAAAATCTTTTCAATATCCATCCCTAGTCTCAGCTGATTGCAGGTTTTCCCAACCTTATCACCAGTATATTTGCATAATGACTGAAACTAGCACCACTGACTAAGAGAGTACAGGATGACTAGGACCAAGTGTCTTTGCTCTTGGAACTTTATTGTGGAAATGAGGGACCCAACACCAACAGCGTTTGCAGTTGCACATGTTTTTATTTGCAAAAGTATAGCATGATTGGGTGTACCGACAATTAATGTCATGTACTGTAAGGTTTGGTGAGTAGTGTGCAAAACTTGTGCACAAAGATATTCATATAGGAATTTCTGGTTAGATTGGAAGAGAGTTAATGAATTGTAATTCATGACTTCAATGTTTATTATATTCAGCATTTTTTATTTGTACCCATACCTACCAGTTCTTGTACACCACCAGTAAGCCTGTGGTTGCAGTACTGTGTTGTTGTGCCAAAGAATGACAGTAAAGAAGGGATAATCTGACACCATCCCCACTGACAGCACATGGAGATGGCCCTGAGTAAATGTGGTTATCCCAGCTGGACTTTTGGCAAAGCTGGGATAACCAGCCGATCCAGGACAGAAGGACAAAACTAACTTCAAAGACTTCACGAGGTCAAACACTGTGATGGCATAGTGTGTTACTCAGTGTTACTGATGCAGTTAGAGGAAGAGCGTGGAGGCAGCGTGCAGGGACATTAAACCCTAAAGGAAAAAATAACTATTGAGCCAAATATCGGACCAAAATCTCACTGAAGGTTTTAGCTGTAAAACAGCTGATCAGAAAAAAGAAAAATGTTTTTGCAATCTCAGTGGATAAGAGCAGTGGTAAAGTTACAAACTCTAAGATGAGGGAGATACAACTGCGATTACTTTAATAATCCCAAAGGAAATTATGTAATTTTACAATTTTTACTTCTTAACCTGTTATTTCATGATGTCTTGTTATTTAACAGGTGTGTCCTACAGAATTTGTTATCCTGAACACAATCTGAAGATTTTTGATTGCAAGATAATACAAACCTTTAATTATTCCTTCTGTGGGTTTTAGTGCGATTACATACAGTATATGTTTGCCAGAGATTTAAGGTTTTAAAGAGAAAATGGAAATGAAAGCCACAGAAAACTGTCCAGGTTCTGATTTCTAATTCTGGAAATCAAATCTTCATCATCATCTTCATCTGAAACCAGAACACAGAAAACAAACTCCTTAAATTGTCCTTTAGTTTTGTTATCCTGCTGATGAAGATGATCACAGCTGTGTCTTTGTTGAAGAATAACTCTCAGCTTTTGGTAAATATGTCAAATATATATTCAGGAAGGGTCGCTTCACTGCACTCTCATATAGTTTAGTTTGAGAGTTAGTGCTCAGTGCCAGTGTGTTCATCAGGAGAGCCAACAGTTTTTCAAAATAAAGCTGATCGCAAAAGAAGATTTGTTTTCCTGGAGGTAGAAACTGGTGTAACAGCAGTGAAAAGGGTAAATGACGCACAGGAACAGTGAAGTGTTAGTGTCTAAAAACAGGATTCCTCCTAACAGCTTAAATTAAATCTTTAATTCAGTGCTTCATTTTACACACAGCGTGTTTTCAGCCTTTATTTATTCTGGATTTTTCTACAGGATGATAAAAAGAGATCATATTAAAGTTGGTCTATAAAAATGTGTTTTTAGAAGTAATGTTAAGGAAGGAGGCTCAGCAGGAGGAAAGCAGGAGTCTCTGAGCAGCAGCCTGTTAGCTGTGGAGACGAGCAGGAGGAAACAGGAAGTTAGATCTATGCTGACATCACTGAGCTCGCTGTTCAAACCTGCTGTTTGTTCCTGACATGCAGTCACAGTCTGAGTTACACCAATGTTTTCTCTTCTGTTTCAGGGCTTCCTGTATGGGCTGCCATACTCATCGGTGTTCTTGGTTTTATTGTTGGTGTTGCGGTTGGTGTTGCTGTTGTGCTTAAGGTTAAAGGATACTGTTTGAAGAAAGGTGAGTTTTACTGATGTACTATATCAACATTCATCATTTGTTGGCAGGAACATCAAACATTCTTTATAACTCCCTCATGTTAGATCTTAACCTTTGATTTATGTCAAAGAAGATAAAGACTTTGTTGGTTTACACTCAGTTTGTGACCAGTGTAGTTGTGTGTTTCAGAATTTTTTTTTTTCTGCAGGTTCACGAAGAAAAGAAAATGGCTGCTCCACATCGCTGCAGTTAAATCTCAACTCCGAATGATCTTAAAAAGTGAGAAGTGATCATATTTGAAACCTTTTTTGTTTGTTTTTTTGTCTTTGATTCAGCTGAGAGTTTAATCACAAAAGGACATGTTGGCTCTTTTTTGTTGTGTGACTGTTCTCTGGTTTCTAATGAAAAAACATTTTGGGATAAATTACAAATTTAAAATCCCAGTGTAGTGATGAAAACACTGTAACTTACCTCATGTTAATATATTCAGTACACAGTCACATTTCCATCATTTAAACCTTAATTCGATCATTTACTGATAAGATAAGATAAACCTTTATTAGTCCCACACATGGGAAGTACAAGAGCAAAAAAAAAGAAGAACAAAATAAGGGACTGTATAAAGAGCTAATATCTCCAAAATGTCCTGAGTAGTCAGTCATTATAAGAAGTGTTTGTGAACTAAAAATAGAATGTGGGATACTGTTTGTCTGTGATTTAAAGGCCTGGAATTGGACACCAGTGTAATTAATGAAAGCACTAAAAGAGAACATGAAAGGCAACCTAAGAATCCACAGTAGTCAAAACATCAGATCCACGACAGGTTAGGAACCACTGACCTACAACACTCCATGTTCACATCGTTATTAACATTACACATAGTAATTGTTTATCACAGATAGAATGGGTTTTTTTTTTTCACTTTTGATAGAATTTGTGTTATCAACAAAATTGTAAATACAGTAAATGAGTGAAATATAAAAACAACAGAATCTTACAGAAGTTTGCGTTGTTCATCTTACAGAACCTTTTAGTGTGACATTAGAGATGGGCAGATGAAGCCTTAAGATGTTTTTTTGAGGCTTCTTGCTGAAAGATAAAAATCTTCCAGAGTCTTCCGAGTCTCTGTGGGTGAACATCTCAGTAATGTCTTCATGTGTTGGCGTGTACCCTGCCTCTCACCCTGTGACAGCTCCACAGGTCACACAGCTGGATCCTCTCCTCTCCTGTGGAAACCAGAACTCACCTGAAACAATCCTGCCCTCTTCAGCATATCTTAAGCACTTTTAATGATATTTGTTGTCGCTGCTATCCAGATGAAACTGTATATGTTTTTATTATGTCTCATGTCTCCAACATGTTTCTAATTTACATAAGTCCCTGTTTGTGCCCCTGACAAATTTATGTCTAAAGTAATGGAAACTCTTGGTCCTATTGCTGCATTTGCTAAATATGCTACAGTTGCTTAATCAGGACTCTCAAAGTAACCTTTTACATTTCAAAGTTTATTTCAAATACAATAATTCAAAGACAAACTGGTTCACTCTTGTGTTTATTATTTATGTCTGGATTGCCATAATTCTTTTTTTACTTCTCTAAACTAATAATGCTTCTGCGAGGCTTCTGACTAACTACACTCACGTTGCAGAGTTGCTGACTCAGCTGCACTAGCTTCCCATTAAATTCAGAGTCAAATTGAAAATTCTGATTTTGATTTCTAGAACTCTGCATGGACGAACACCAGCATACATAACTGAACCTTTACATCTGGATGTCCACAGCAGGTCCCTGAGGGCATGTGATCAAGGCCTGCTGGCTGTGTCATGTATCATGTGTGCTTTTAGTTAACTTTTTTTATATTCTAGCATTTTGTTGCTAAATACTTTATCTTTAAATGTGCTAATTAAATAACATTTTATGTACTTTTATTTTACTTTCATTGTCTGGCTTCTCATTGATTTCAGAAACTATAAAGCCACGAAAGGCTGGACGGTCTGTTCCACACAACAGGTGATAATAAGTGTAAGATGGTTGGATTAAATTTTCCAAAAGGCACCAACAGTACAAACAGTTCAGTTACTTCAGTTAGTGGAGGTGAGAAGGAGCAGACAGCTTCAGCCAACTTTGCTGGGACACCTGTCAAACCCATCCTTCCACTTCACTTCCTTCTTAATTGTAAACAATAAAAGTTGTTTAAAAACAAATACACCCAGCATACAGTTGGTATGAAGTGAGAAGCTGACCACAGGGAACAAAAAACATTTATTATATCAGACTGTAAACCTGCTGATATCTGCTGTGAATGCTTTAGGATGGAAGTCCGAGGTGAAATTGTTTGTTCCGCCTTCTTCCAGTTTTCCATTTCTTCACCTGTCTCTAAAGTCTAGTTAGGATCTCAGATTTGAGAAAGAATTGCACTTCATCTTTCTGATAAATAGTCCTGTGGCAGAATTATTAGTGTGACATTTCTCATAATCTGGGAGCTATCTGAAACAAAGCATAAGTTCAGTAGGAACATCTGTAATCACTCTGCCGAGTGCTCAGTTCGGGTTTATTCTTATGACATAATGAATTTAGTTTCCCACGTAGTCTTCCCACTCTGACTTTGCTCAGTCTGCCTTTCGGGCTCTCATTTGTTCAGCACACCTTCTCCACTTTACTGTAATCACTGTCTCCATCTTAAGAGTATAGGTCAGGTCTTCTTTTTAATTACTAAACTGTCGATGTTTCAACAGCTCTGTATCCTTTAGATTTTAGTCTGAAAGGAGATTAAGCTGCTTCTCTTTCCTTCATACCTGATGAAATAGGATTGGGCACTGCTGCAAGGTGTGAATGTCAGCCAAACACTGTTATTACTGATTTGTATATATGAATAAATAAAATGGTGTAAAAATAAAAGGCGTATAAAAATTAAAAAAGGTGACTGAAAAAGAAACCGTCAGTGCATCATGGGAATCACCCAGCAGCCTACGTCTATTGCAGCATAACTAAGGGAGGATTCAGGGTCACCTGGTCCAGCCCTAACTATATGCTTTAGCAAAAAGGAAACTTTGAAGCCTAATCTTGAAAGTAGAGATAGTGTCTGTCTCCTGAACCCAAACTGGAAGCTGGTTCCACAGAAGAGGGGCCTGAAAACTGAAGGCTCTGCCTCCCATTCTACTTTTAAATACTCTAGGAACAACAAGTAAGTGCTGTATTCTTGGTTGTATGTTTCCAAATATTCATTAGTTAAACTAATTCATTCTGTAGAGGTCCGAAAGTCAATTATGGTCATGCTGTCTATTGATTTGCCTTTCCCACTACCGTAGTTAAAGTAGGCCCCATTTACTATGCTGCCCTAAGGTATTACCAGGCTCACACTTCAAGACTCATCATTGCACTTTGTATGCCCTTGCTGGATTTACTTCACTCAATAATCGAAGGATGAAGCATTGGTATACTTTTATATACAAAGCCATTGTAAGAATATTGCCATTATACAAGTTCATTGCCTACAACCTTTTGTTTTTCATTTTAATCAGGCCATCAGTTTTAACCATGCATTAATAACAGGACAGGAAAAAAAGAGAATCATCCGATGAATACAGATGAATATAAAGGTAGAATAATTATCTTGTTCCACATTTTTGTTCATGTTGTTCACAAGAAAAGTGAAAATGATTAGTGGTGCAAAAAGAAAAAGAACTACGAAATCTTGCTTCTTCCTGTCAGTTTTATCAGTTCTCATGAATGCCTACAGTTTCCTTGATAACAGAGATGCTGCATCATGAAGATAATATGCTGTGAGTGCATAGATCAGTACAGCTCCTGACATACGTCATTATTCCAAAGACTGTCAGTTCTTGGAAGTCTGGCCTTCTGGATGACGGCCAGCTTGTTGTGAAATCTAATTGCCTGACAGGAAGTCTGTCGTTTAAAGTGAAAGTGAGAGTGGAGCTGAAATCTTTTTTTTTTTTTGTTTAATGACTTCATAGCCTGGGTTGTAGTATCGTTCCTCTGTTTGACTTTTATAGAAGCAATTTTCATAAAGGTTTTTCCTCATTACTTCAGGTCAGATGAGGCTGTGAGGGAATGCGAAGAGAGACTGTGACATCGCTTTTTTAGTCTTTTAAAGATGCTAGTGTCAAAAAGAAACAAACATAAAAAATAACTCTTTGACTTTAAAGTCTGGGGGTAAGAGGGGTCCCTTCCATTTACCTCAGCTTTTGCCAAACATTTTTACAATAATCTGTCATGTCTGCTCATTAATCTCTCACCTGTCAGCGTTTCTGTGTACCTGTTATTAAACAAGTTCAGTCTAATGTTGCACCGGAAGTGTAATTATGCTTTACTACTTTAGGAGAATAGAAACGTGTTTTGGAGCGCGTCAGTGCGCTGGGAGGAGTGGCTCTGAGCTCCCTTTTTAAGAGATCCTGTAACGTTTGATCCTCTGAGGGTTTCTGCAGACATGGAGCTTCTGCCACTTCTGTTTCTAAGCTTCTGTTTCCTGACTTTGTCCGGACGGACGTTTGCTGCTGAATCCGGTAAGAAACTCACTGATTTAGACTGATCATGTGTGCAGGCGCTGTCACGTTTCACAGGAGCGGATGGAGCTTTTACGCTGCTCAGGCTGCTGCTGTAGTGGGTGGATTACTGCGGCATCTACACCCGTGACATCAGCTTTTAACGTAGCCGCGTTTTAGAGTGAAATAATAAGACGACAGATTAATGTGCAGCATCTTCAACAATGAAACGAAACTTTTGTCTCTGTTGGTGATCAGTTTTTCGAGATACTCATTATTTCCTTTGAATATGTTATAAGGTGTATGTGTGGCGTCAGTGCGCTGCTTCCTGTTTTGTTTGTTATCTCAGGCTGGGTCTTGGTGCAGCCTCTGGGTTCACTCTGTCTGAAACAAGCGCTTCAGCTCCTTCAGCCTCCATTTAAACCAGTCACTCTCACTCTGTGGGGCTGTAGGTGGAACTGTGATGACAACAGGAAAATATGAAGGGGAACTTAACTGAACAAATGTGATTTTTGCGGTAAAAAAAACAAAAAAAAACAAAACAAAAACAAAAAAGCTTTGCAATTGCAAATGGTATTTTTGTGATTTTTTTTCCTGAAAGATTTTTTCTGAAATTAAACTTAATGCTTTTGTTATGTTCATAATGGATACAAACCAAGAATTACCTTTTTTTTAGCTTCTGAAATGTAGCATGGCAAAGTTTCTACAACTCTGCTTTAAGCCACCTTCCTTCTGCTCGAATGTCCGTGACTGATATTTGACTTTCTTTCGATCCTCATCACTCTGTGTGTGAACACATGGTTTAATTCATGTACTGTTTTTCAGGGTCACCTGATACCAACATAACTGTGCAGGAAGATGATGATGTCATTTTACCCTGTTTATTCGTCTCCAGCGTGAACATTGAGTCAATGAAGTTTGACTGGAAGAAGAAAGGAACACTTCTTCAAAAGGAGGTGTTCCTGTATGATAACGGCAGCTATTACAATAATGGCCTCCACGGTCAAGATGAGCAGTTTAAAGGTCGAGTCTCACATTTTTCAAAAGAACTAAGGAATGGCAACGCCTCAATAAGAATAAATAAAACTCGGCTGGAGGACAGTGGACTATATACCTGTATTTTTCCAGACCTGCAGCCAGAAAGAAAAATCTTCCGCATTGAGCTTGTTGTTGGTGAGTGCTGTTACAACTCAGCTGATTATTTACAGATGAAACAGTCAGCATGCACATCTGGCAGGGCCTCAACCCTACAGCACACCTGTAGTAATATTTGCAATATTTGGTGAACAAACCTGAGACCTTCCCATGTGCATGCTGGTCCTGCACCTGTCCACTTACCAAGGATCTGAAGTTTCCATTGTTTTCAGTAAACAAAATAATTCTGTGTGAATGCAGCTATAAACACTTAATAAATAAATGTTCATTTTTAATTATATATGATAGACACAGCTGTTCAAATTGTTTTCTGACTGCGTGATTATAACACATCCACAATCAAAACCTGCCTCTTGTTTAAATGTATCAGGATATGTGAAATGTGTGATTGTACCTTCTTTTTTTTTTAGTTCTTTTTTTTAGGAGAAAAATCTAATATAGCAGGATAACACCTCTGGATTTCTTTTCTTCAGTTTAATTTGACTGCCAAATTGATGAGACCACAGTCACCTCTAACATGTGTGTTTCTTTTTCCTTTCAGAGCCTGTATTAAAGGTCCGAAATGTCACCGGTGAGTCTTGTTTGTGACGATGTCCCCGATTTACATTCTCCTCTCATTCGTTTACATTCTTCTCTCTGTATATGTGAACGTATCCGATATAGACAGTCATGTTAAAAAGTAGACAGTTAATTATAAGTGCTGTGGTTTAGGAAATAATTAAAAACAAGCCTCTGGTCCTTAGCAGATCTTCAAGATAAGTAAATACAAACTGAGATGAACAACAGTAACACACAAGACAAAAAGCAGAAGCAGCTTGTGAAAAACCACGTTTGGCAACTGTAACCTGAATTTATTTTCTCTATGAGTTTAATCTCACATCATTGCAGGAATTTTAGAATGTTGGTTCAGTTCATTGAAGTTTGTTGGCATTTCTTTATGTTACTCTGTTTGTGTCGGGGGGACAAATTTTGCGCAGTGTGTTTTGGAGTTTGAAAGCCACAGAGACACGGTGTTTAGAAGAAATGCGTCTCAGCTCACAACAGGTTTTCGCTTAGGCAGCAGCTGTAGGCTACTTCTTTCCTGGATCGGCTGGAGCTTTCTTTAGCTTTGACAAATGTCTAGCTGGGATAACCAAATTTACTCAGGGCCTTCTTGATGTGATGTTCTTCTGCTCAGTCTTGACTGAGAGGTCTTAAATGTACAGTATAGAAAATCTTACCACGGAATGTCAGATCGCATTTAAATGAATTCTATTTTCTTACCTAATCTAATCCCAGCTACAGTGGTGATTGTATAGGACAAATACATAATAATAATTTTTTTAAAAAGACTTACTTTTTTGTTGTTTAAACTCCATGTGTAGCTTTCTCTAATGAAAATGCTGCTTGCAAATAAAAATTTTAGGAGGTGAAATCAGTTTTTTGTCAAAGAAAAACAAGTATTGGACAGCTGATATGCTGTCTTTGGCTTTCCCCAAATGTGGTGCTGTGAATTATTATCAAACATCTCCACTTTGGTGTCATCTGTCCACAGGACATTGTTGCAGAAGTATTTTGGTTTATATAGCTTTGCAAACCTAAGCCGTGCTGCCATACAATGAGAAAACAGACTTTCTTCTAGCAGTTCTTACGAACAAGCCATACTTGTTCAGTCTTTTTCTAATTATACTTTGCATGAACTTGGGATGGGCAGCACGGTGGCACGGTGGTTAGCACTGTTGCCGCACAGCAAGAAGGTCCTGAGTTCAATTCCACCATCAGGCCGGGGTCTTTCTGTGTGGAGTTTGCATGTTCTCCCCGTGTTTGTGTGGGTTCATCCGGGTACTCTGGCTTCCTCCTCCCATCTTGTGGGGATAGGTTACTTGGTTAATCCAAATTGCCCATAGATGTGAGTGCGAATGGTTGTCTGTCCCTGTGTGCTGGCCCTGCGACAGACTGGTGACCTGTCCAGGGTGTACCCTGCCTCTTGCCCTATGACAGCTGGAATAGGCTCCAGCGCCCCCTGCGATCCTGAAAAAGGATAAGCGGATGCATGGATGAACTTGGGATGAATTTTCTGGGATGTCCACCTCTGGAAAGATTGACATCTGGCTTGTGTGACGCCCACAAGTGTATGGTCACAGTTTTTGATGTAAAAGATCAGATTTTATGGTGGTATTGCACTTTTCATTTAGAGTTATGGAGAATGTAATTGCGTGGCTTTGCCACAAGGGGGAGATAGGGGTGAGTGCGATAGGCCGTTGCAACACTTCTCTGCCTCAGACGAGGAAGAGTCTGCAGACCGAACGCAACTGATGTCTCCTGTCTCTGCTTTTCTGTTAATAAAAAACAAAACAGGTTAATAGTTCAAGTTTGCTCACTGCAATGTACATACAAAGGCAAGAAACCCTTTTCTGTCCAAGTTTAAAGTTCACGAATATTGTGAGAGAGTGTGTTTTCACAGATTGAGAGAAAGCTAACTATACCGCCATTTGTAATGGAAGCCGCCATTTCACTCTTAGTCTAAATAGGCAGCTGGTCTTATTACCTGTTTTATTTTGTGACAAACGCAGCTCTTAAGACGCTTCTTTTATCCTGACATTATTGGAAGTTACAGTTGAATAGGACCTACCCAGTTCTTATGTGTCAAGTGTAAATAGTCTGATGTATACTGTTTGTGGACGATTGTAAACTGTTTGTGAGCAATGGAAGAATATTTTTGTTTATTGGTTACAAATGTAATATGTTGTTTGAATCTGTTAAAATATAAAGAATGCATAATGGTATATAAGCGGGTTAATTGCAGTGTTAATGGAGCTGCACAGAAATGGTTTTGATGCTGAACAGCAGTAGAATATGGTTACAGATTTATTGTAAATAAGGACACTCATATACAATGATTATTTTATAAATTTATTCTTGCGAGAAAGCGAGGTAACCAAAAGGGTTTGAGCTATGGACCTGATTGAATGTGTTTTTGGTGTTAAAAGAGAAATGTGTGTGTCTAAATGAACAGAAAAGTAACTGTTTAATTCTGTTACTAAACCAGACGAGGAAGAGCCTGCAGACCGAACGTAACTGATGTCTCCTGTCTCTGCTTTTCTGTTAAAAAAACAGTTTAAAAACAGACCCCATCGAAGGCCTGTAACACTTGAATGTTTTCCATTTTAAAAATGATAGATTTCAAACTGCTTGTAATGCCCTTTAACCCTTCCTAGATTGATGTGAGCAACAGTTTCTCCTCTAAGATTATTACTGCCGTCTTTCCCCCTTGACACGTGTTAACACACATCAACTCCAGAGCTGCAAATAGCCAAAACTTCTGGTATTATAGAGGACCTCACACTTAGCGATGATCAATTAATCAAATGCAACTGATTATCAGCAACTGGCTGCTACCTACCGTCTAAGTTCTTGTAGAAGCAGTAAGGGTTTACTATGTAACATGTCACGTTATTGTTAATCTGATTATTTTATTTTAATAATTTTAGAACCTGTGTGGACCAGATTATTTTTTATTATGTCCTGATATGCATAACCTCACAACTGACAAAGGGTAAATTTTGTTTTTACAATAGCTGTAGCTATATTTGTTCATTATTTAGATTTTAGTGTTTGTTTGTTTTTTGTATTGTTTATGTTGTTTTTGCTGGTGGTTATGTAAACTAGCTGCTCTAACAGCAGTTTTTTCTTTCTCTGGAAGATTTTTTCCAAACTCATAAATTACAACTCTTGTTTGTAGTAAAAACTGTACAGTGATCTTAAATCATGCTGGCGTTATTATTAAGTTTTTACTGTTCTTTTCTTTGCTCTTAAACACATTGTAATCCACTTGTATGCTTTGAAACATTTGAGTATTCAATTTTATTCTATTTATGTAGTGCCCCACACAACAGTCGTGTCAAGATCCTTAATATTACAATTTCATAGTCTTAGATTGCTAACATTGTATGTTTGTTGTCTGTGATGTGTTCACAGGTGCTTCTCCAAAGCCATATGTCACAATACTTAAAAATAAAGGGCAGCTGCAATGTGAAGTTCCAGGTGCTTATTTTGAACCTACAGTTCAGTGGTGGGACAGTGATAACAAAACTCTTCCTTCTAAGACGCTAAAGGACCAAAAAGAAAATGGTCTCTTCTACGTCATCATCCAAAGTACTTCCCCTAAGCCTGACTGCTATCGCTGTGTAACCACACAGATGGACATCTGGCATCGGATTTCTTCAGAGATCTGTGTGCATGAAGGTAAGGGATATATTATTCTTCTAATATTCTATATTTAGAAAATATATTAACAAAAGTGAAGAGAGGAGCACCATTAGCTTCGATGATGGCATTTTGATGAGCTGATGCAATGTCACTGCTTTTAAAGCCATCCAGAGTTTGCTTAATCTTTTGCCATAATCATGTCTTGATGATGGAAGAGTCAAGTCTACTCCCCAAAAGTTGATTCTGTTCATCTGGACGTAGTTTTTTCAGTGGGAGAAATGTTTCGTCACTCATCCAGGTGACGTCTTCAGTCTCAGCTGATGCAGGTTTCCCCAATCTTATAAACAGTACATTTGGACAATGACTGAATCTAGTCCACTGAAGGAACAATGGGCTGTGAAGTCAGTTCCTTGATCATTAATATGCAAATTCTCATGAGTCCCATTCACAGAGAGTTGGGGAATGGCTGCAATCACAGCATTGTAAGATGGTGACAGATGTACCCTTAGGCCCCCTCCTCGATTCAGAGATGGTCTTTCCCTTTTCACGTAAATGGCCTCCTTGACTCCGCGCTCAAACCAGCGTTCCTCCCTGTCCAGGATGTTACATCCTCATCATTGAAAGAGTGTCCACTGGCCTGTAGGTGTGAATAGACTGCAGAGTCCTGGCCTGATGAAGTAGCTCTTCTGTGTTGTGCCATCCGCTTCGCCAGAGGTTGTTTGGTTCCCCCGATGTATAAATCCTGGCAATCCTCCTGCACTTAACAGCGTACACTATTGTTGGGGGAAAACTCTGTAAAAAACCCAGGAGAAATAAAGACACAATGAGACAAAGTTACTTTCTTTATCAAACGTGTACACGGGTGAGCTGCTAAGAACAACTCACACCATGCACAGTGGCTTGGTAATTTTTATAGGAAAGACAGTGAGAACAGGATAAGAAAATACAAAACAAATAAAATAAACAACTCCATATGTGGCGCTAGTCTCGTCAGCAGAGAGCTGGGAGAAGGCTGTGAGAGATAAAACAATCTAAAACAATATGTCCCAAAACAGTATGTCTTTGCTGAGAAAGTCTAAAAAGATTATTCTAAACTAATCTAACCATAGGCAAAGGGCAGACAAAAGGCATCTTTGTACATTTAAAAGAAGGTAAAGAAACATAGAATCATTTTTCCTGTAACATTCCCCCCTGTTTAACTTATTTTAAATGTATACAACAATTGTCTATGAAAATTATTTATTAAGTATCTTAGGCAATTTTTAATTTCCAAAAATCTTCAAAATGTCAGCATAGCAGAAATGGCAGTCATTTGGTCTAAAGAATAAAACAAAAGAAAATAATAAAAGAAAAACATAATAAAACAAAAGAAAATAAAAAGAAAAACATAGTAAATGAAAATCATAGTAAATGAAAGAACAAGTGGAAAAAACAAGAAAAAATAATAAAACTACAAAAAATAAAGGATAAAAACCTTATATTATAAAACGAAAACTTACAAAAAAGAAAAGGATGAAAAGTAAAATGAAAACTTTATATTTGAAAATGATGAAAACCTAATATGTAAAATGAGAACTTCAAAAAATACAAGGATGAAAACCTTATATTTAAAATGATGCAAACCTGAAATTGAAAAACTTTATATGTAAAATAATGAAAACTTCATGTTTAAAATGAAAACTTCAAAGAAAATAAAAGCATGAAAACGTTGTATTTAAAATGAAAAACTTTATGTTTAAAAGTCAAGACTTCAAAAAAAATAAAAATAAAAGCATGAAAACCTGCATAACCTACTAATGTTTTAATCAGTGCATGATCACTTGACAAGTCATTTTTAATCACCACGTCATTTATTAGCAGCTAGTACAAGTTCTCCTCTAACAGAATTGCAACGGGATGTTGTTCTTCTTGAGGCACGGCAACATAAGCAGTCATTGTAGTTGTTATCATCTTTGAAATCATTACTCTTAGGCATGGCAAGACACACAACACTAATATGAGCAGTGCTATCATGATGAGACCTAGAAGAAAAAATGGCTTTGCTACAGCAGCCAGCCATGAACCGCTGAACAGCCAGTCAAGCCAGCCTTGTGCTGTAGCTGCTCCAGGTGTGTGGTCAGTGACATATTTTTGCAGAGCGGTCAAATTCTGCAAAGCTTCATAAATGTCTCCTCCAGTTTCGTATCCATCAGGGATAAAAGTGCAACATGTTTCCCCGATCAGCTTGCAAACTCCTCCTTGTGATGCTGTTAGCAGGTCTAGTGTCAGTCTGTTCTGCAGCACCATCGTTCTGATGGCCTGCTGTTCTCCTGCTAAGGCAGTTCCCAGGGTCTTAGTCAAGTTGATGTGTCGTAGCAGAGCATATCGGTTGATCTCCACGTGATCCCGCACCTCGGCAACTCCAATGCCGGGGATCAAGCTCTGTAAGAATTTCACTCCTCCTCCCCAGATGCGAAACTCTCCCGGCACTCCAGTGTCCACGGTAATGCCGAAAGAATTGGGGGAGGCGATGTCCACTTCACGTCTCTGCCGGCTGCTTGGGTGATGTGCAACACTTTGCATGAAGAAAACGTGATCTGATAATTCCACCAGGGCGCACAGACCTCCCCAACCTTCAGGGAGTGACAGATAAGCCTTGTTGCCACATAGGAAGTACCAGTCAGCCAAAACTCTGGTTCCTCTGCTGCTGGGTGCCGTCCGTGCACATCCTGTCTGGTACTGAGTCTTTGTTTTTAGTGGCATTCGGTAGCTGTAGTCGGAGCGACAGTTTAGGCCCATCAGCGTCGTGTCACTGGCACAGGTGGCGTTGATTGAACAGGCCATACACTTCCTCTCGTTCCTTGGTGGGCAGAAAGTGTATATGGACTTACATAGGTGAGTAGGCAGCTCCCCCACTGCCCGCGATCCATTGTTCATCACACATACTGGCAGTTGTGATGCGTTCAGTTTGTTCAGTAGAATTACATCAGGCAGTGGGTCTGAGACTTGGGGCCAGGTAAGTAGGTAGGTCTGTCCGGAACAGTTCACATTTGTGAGTGATGATGACCTCCAGGTTGCTTTTGCTGGGATGCTGTAGTTGGCTTTGGACCAAAGAGTACCGTAGCCTGGATGTGTTGCCAGGCCCAACAGGCACCAACTGCGATCTTCAGGTATGCTGTACGGCCACAGGCCAGACGTCTGCGAGGATAGGGGCATATGGGTACATGCATAGCAGTCAGTTTTGTTATTCAAGTGAGCTGTAGTGTTCATAAACTGCCACCAGAAGTTAGTGGCGTATCCATGGGGAAACTTGGTGTACTTTCCTTTGTCATACAGTGTCTGCCTTTTCTCCATGTAGCGTGACTTGTTGTCCCTCACGGAAGCAAAGGTGAGGAGCCCGGCCATGGTCAGGGCCGCTGCAGTTGATAAGAGCCACCACGTCATGACGACGGAACACACCCTCCTGTCGCGAGTAGACCCCCGGCCAGGAAAGCTGACCCCTCCACCGGGCGAGATCACAACAAGCGGGCAAGCCTGCCGTCAGCTGTGTTTAGATGGCTTCACTGACACGCCTGCAGTGACTCTGATGGACCCAGGATGGTCGTTCCGCAATTTTGCAAGCGGTCGGTGTAGTGAGGAGGACTTGGTATGGTCCCTCCCACCTGGGTGTGCTCCAGTTTTTCCTTTGGAGCACCTTGATCAGAACCCAGTCACCGGGCTTTAGTCTGCAAGACACTGGAGAAACATCATCAGGTTGTTGATTATGTACAACGATCTCTTTGTTTTCTAACAGCTTAGACATCCACTCTGCTAATGTGTTTTCTCTGATTGCTTTGTCTATTGGTTGACTGGTAATAGGCAGTGGAAACGGCCTGCCATGAATGATTTCAAATGGAGTTAGTTTATGGGAGCCTTGTGTTAAGCGCATCCACATTTTCACTAAACCCAAACATTCAGGCCACGGCCTTCCTGTTTCTGCCATGCATTTCCTGAGCCTTTGTTTTATAGTGCCGTTAGTTCTCTCTACAAGGCCTGCGCTCTGAGGGTGATAAGCACAGTGGTGTTTTATGCTGAAACCGAGTGCTTCAGAGACCTTAGTGATGACATCATTTACAAAATGAGTGCCGTTGTCTGACCGTATCAAAGCTGGGATGCCATATGTGGGTATGAAGTGATTGCATAGGCACTTTGCTACTGAAATTGCATCTGCCTTTTTCACTGGATAGATTTCCGGCCACTTTGAGAACACGTCTATAACCACTAGGGCGTATTTTGACCCTTGACATTCGCTTAGTTCAATAAAATCCATATGAATTGTGTGAAAAGGATGAGGCGGAGTTGGAAAACGGCCTCTTTGTGGTCGCAGGTTACCCTGAGCATTATATTTTTGACACGTCATGCACGTTCTGACAAATTGTTTTGCTGAAGTTTCAAAATTTACAGTGTAGAAATGAGTGTTGACAATACAGGTCATTCCCCCCGATGACAAATGCGTACAGCCATGAGTCACTAATGCCGCCATTTTGTGGAGCGATTTTGGCAACACTGGCTTGCCATAACACATCATTAAATCGTTTGTCAGAACTGCACCGTGTTTTAGCCATTTTGCCTGCTCTGCTGTGCTTGCTGCTTTTTGTTCACTTTGCAACACATCCAGTGGAATCTGATGTGTGTTTACTGCCATCAATGTCATGTGTGTTTTTTGTGCCGCCTGTTTTGCGGCTCTGTCAGCAAAATTGTTGCCTGTAGTAATAAAAGAGCCATCAGTTTTGTGTGCTGCACATTTACACAATGCGAGTTGTTGTGGTAAATGTATTACAGTCAGCAGGTGTTGTAAGAGGCTTGCATGCTGGACTGGTTTACCGGTTGATGTAATCATTCCTCTGTTTTGCCAGAGCTTTGCGAAATGATGCACAGCAGAGAAAACATACTGGCTGTCTGTATAAATGTTTATTGGTTTATCTTTGTGGATTTCACATGCACGAATAACAGCTATCAGCTCAGCGCTCTGTGCAGAATATGAAGAAGAAAGTGGTTTTGCTTCTATTATTCTACTGTCTGTGGTTACTGCGTAACCTACACAATTACGGCCTGTGTTGTCTTTAGAGGCCGAGCCGTCCACAAAGACATCAGTAAAACCAGCTTGTGGCTCAGCATGAATGTCAGGGCGGGGTTTGGTGTCTTTGTCTAATTCTGCATGGCAGTTGTGCACATCTCCATCAGCTGGTGTGCTCACTAGAGTCCCTGGATTCAGTGTGCCACATTTTTCCAGTGTGATGTGAGACTGTGATAGTAAAATGCCTACATACGATAGCTGTCTGGCATGAGTGAGGTAAGAGAGATTGGCTTGCAGCAGTATAGATGTGACAGCATGCGGGACCTTGACAACTAGCTTGTGGCCTAAGACAATGTCTGCTGACTTCTTTACTGCTTCTGTGGCCGCTGCACAGCTTTGGACGCAAGTCGGCAGGCCCGAAACTACAGCGTCTAATTTACACGAGTAGAATGCTAAAGGGCGCTGTTTGTCACCAAAAGCCTGTGTCAGAACTGCCTTCATGTAGCCGGCCCCCCCATCAACATGCAGCACGAAAGGCTTGTCATAATCAGGCAGGGCCAGGACTACATTTGTTTGTAAAGCCACCTTTAGGTTAGTAAATGCTGTGTCTGCCTCTACCGTCCACGTTATTGTGTCGCGCAAAGCGAGGTTTTTGCCATAAATCATGTCTTGCAGTGGCTGAACTGTTAGTGCATACTCTGGAATCCAAGCTCTACAGAAATTACACAAACCTAAAAAACTCATCATCTGTTGTTTTGTTTTAGGTTTGGGTGTGTTTTGCACTGCCAGCTTTCTGGTTCCCAGCAGTGTTTTGCCCTGGCCTGTGAGTGTGTGTCCGAGATATGTAACGTTATCACTCCACAGCTGCAGTTTGTGTTTTGAGACTTTGTGGCCCTGTTCAGCCAAATGCTGTAGCACAGCAAGTGTGTTGTCTTTGCACGCCTGCTGTGTGTGACCGGTTATTAAAATGTCATCTACATACAGCAAGTATTGACCTAGCTGTGGGAGCTTACAGCTAGACATTGACTTCTTCAGTGCTTCTGCATAGAGGGTTGGGCTATTCTGGAAACCCTGGGGCAAACGAGTGTATGTGTACCTCTGACCCTCATAGGTGAAGCCAAACAATGGCTGTGAGTCTGGATGTAGTGGAACTGAGAAAAAGGCGTTTGAAAGGTCGATTACTGAGAACCACTGTTCGTTCGGTGTGACCTGATTTAAAATAGTGTGTGGATTAGCAACCACAGGTGAGATTTGTTCAGTCACTTCGTTTATAGCTCTCAGGTCATGTACTAGACGGTATGCACCCGCGGTCGCTTTTTTAACAGGAAAGATAGGAGTGTTACAGGTGGCTGTCTTTGTTTTTATTAAAATTCCTGCCTTCTCCATGTCTGCTATCACTGGGCGAATGCCATGTCTAGCCTCAGCAGTGAGTGGGTATTGAGATATCAGTGGTCTGTGTTTTGAGAGAGGTTTTACTCTTACTTCATCAGCATTTTTTATAAGGCCTACATCAGCAGGGCCTGTAGACCAGAGAGTTTCAGGCAGCTGAGCTAGTGCTGCCTGGTGTCATTCAGTCAGTTGTGCGTGTGTTTCAGCGGCATCGGCTAGGTGTACAGCGGGCCTGACTGTGACCACCCAACCCAGTGTGTATCGGAAACACCCTGTCCGGCGGCCTTGCAGCCAGCCTTCATGAGTGTCTTCCGTTTTTTCATAAGTGTCTGCTTCAACCCTGGCTAACACATTTCCTAAATCTTTCCAGTCTGAATGATAGTCATGCGCTACAGACACGTGTGGCTTAGGCATGCGGTTCAAAGCCTTCACGGCTGCTGATTGGATTACTGAGCACACTGCATTTCCCGACTTTGTGACATACAGGTGTTGTAAAGTCAAACTCTGTTGTCCTAGCTTCCACACTTGCTTATCGTAAAGTGGGTCTGGACCTGGAGTTTGTTTAAATCTCAACGTGTTGTGATAGTCAGTGGGTTTCTGGAAATAGGATGTGGGGGGTGTGTATTTGCGGGCCACATTGTGTAGTTTTGTGAGCTCGGGCAACTCAAGAGTCCAGTAATAATGTGGGACACCGTAGCCTTGAGAGAGACACACGTTGCTGCTGTGTGCCGTGTTAATGCTATCTGGCTCTGGTGTGTTGTCATTTAGCATGCATTCTGCAATCATGCCATTCTCTTCCGGTACCACGCCTATCTTGAGTTCTGTCAGAGCGTCTCTTCCTAGTAGGTTTACTGGGCATGAGGGGTCATATATGCATTTAATGAAGCACTTGCGGCCACTTTCGGTATGCATTAATTCTAACGGGGCAGTTAGTTGTTGTACAGTGGTGTGGCCTGTGGCTGACTTCACAACTAATGTGTCTTTTGAGTACTGTAAGTTTTTAGGCGGCTGCCTTAGAACCGTTTTACATGCTCCGGTGTCACACAACATTTGGATTGGTTGCCCGTTCACGTGAATTAGCAGCATTGGTTTGTATTCTGACCCTAATAGCAATTGTTCTATGTTAAAAACTTCCCCTCCCTCATCAACGTTCATGTCTTGTGTGTTTTCTAGTCACATGTCGCTGTTCTCCATAGATTCGCCACTGTTTTGCCTGTCATTGTTTCTCCTCTTATTTTGTGTCTGTGGCTTGCTCCTGCAATCTCGTGCAAAATGACCTTCTCTCCCACAGTTAAAACAGGCATTGTCTTTGAAATATCTGCTGTTTCTGTTTGGGTGTTTGTGGCCTTGCTGCCGATTGCCTTGCTTCCCTCTCTGCCTCTGATAGCCTCCCGAAAATGCAAGGAAACCTGTCTCTGAATCTATGGTGAAGACGTCAGCCTTATTTTTCTGTTTGTGCACTTTTGTGGCGTGTTCAGCATGTAACAGGGCATCCGGCAGGTTGCCAGTGGTCATTGTGACCCAATGTTTCTCTACATGTGCTCTTATTGGTGGGAGTAGGCCATTTAGAAATGCATTTTTTAACTGCTGCTGGAATGGCGTTGCATCGCCATCGGCATAATCTAAACCTGAATGCTGCCTAAAAACTGGGCGCAGGCGGTCTAAAAAGTCTGATGCAGTTTCATTTTCTTTCTGTTTCACTTCTCCTATTTTATTGTAGTTTGGCTTGGGGGCCAGCTGTAATTTCACACGTTCATAGAAGTTATGTAGTTGGCCTTCTAATTCAGGGTCACCTGCACGCAGGGGTTGTGGTCCGTTGCCGACCACTAAAGAATCTAAAGGATTATTGATTGCCCCCCCAGTGAAAGAGCCTTTCACTGAGCCAAACTTCAAACCTAAAAGATCTTGAAGTACCTGGTACATTTCATGACCGTTTAAATACCACTGAGTCCTAATTGCTTCAACTGCTCTCTTCCATATGTCAAAACCGTCATGCAGGGGCGGGACATCTTTAAGAACATTTTTGCGATCCTCATGTGACCATGGTCTAAACACAAGAATTGTGGGGTGTGCGTCTTGCTGCCCCATAGGTCCAATCGGCTGACCATATCTGGGGTTAGGTGAACTTATTAATGGAAATACTCCTGGGGGGCTTGGGGGTCAGGCCATATTTCCCTGCCTATATGATCTTCCCCTATATCTGCTTCAGGTGCAGGTGTTAATGACATTTTAGCTAAATCTGCCTGCACTGAACCATAAGGGTTATTCACAGCTGCATCTTTGTCTGTTTGCTTGGGAGTTGATGCAGAGGCAGTAACATAGGGGGGAGGGGCTGCAGCCGTTGCTTCAGGCACCTCACAGCTTTGCTTTTATTTTTTATTCTGTCTCTTTTCTCTATTCTCAGCACGTCTCTGCTGCTCTTTTTTCCATGCATCTAGGAAAGTTAATTCATGTGTGCGTTTTCCTTTCTTTCTAAGATTTGTGGTTGCACTTATTTCCTTTAATAAGCTATCTTTGAGCTGTGTTAAAGCTGCGGGGCTGCACGTACCCTCCCACCCAGGACATGACGTCTTTTTAGGATTACGCCATCTCCTTGCGCTGATTTTTCCTGCACCTGGATATTTATTTTCTATCCACTGTTCGTCATTAATGAACTTTTGTGTATACTGCCCATTATTGGCAACAGGTTTAGAGGTTTTATTCCCCATTTTTCAATTTTCTTATTATTTAGTGTATCTTACTTATGTATTTATTTATTTAGTTTTATTTATTTATTTATACACTGGCAATACAGCTGCTATCCACCTTCGCTGGTATGAGGAATGAGAGTGGTTGTTCACACGCCCTTCTACTTTCGGACTATTTCCAAAAGCGGTGTGAACTTTACGAGGCGGAACTCGACCGTTCTCCCAAGCCACCAGCACTTCAGCGAACAGCAGTGAAAGAAAAACACAGTAGGAGCGGCTCAGTCTCTTATTGGACCGTGAAAATTCAGCTTGCTCCGTTAATTAAAACAATACACACACACACATTCACATTCACAGCTTTGACGCGCGCGCCCGGAACCCTTATAATAAGGGGAGCTCCCAGAGCTACTTACTCCCTAGACCCAGTCTAGACCCAGCTGGGGGAGCTACCCAGAGCTCCAAAGCTACCAGTCGACGAGCTCCCAGAGCTACCAGCCGACGAGCTACGCTACCAGTCGACGAGCTTCCAAAGCTACCAGTCGACGAGCTACTTCCGCTATTTTAAATTCCCTGAATTCAAAATGCGATTTTACGCAAGATTGTGTCAGTGTGTCTGTATCTACCTGGTCAGTGTCGCCGGGTCTGGTCCACCTCGATCGGGCCCCACCACCGTGGGTCGCTTTCTAAGAACGTTGGCCAAGACTCGAATTTAACGCCCTTGGTCTTTGACCACACACCTAGTATGTGGGCTGTCGACAGACGAGCAACGTGGACTGGTCACGGAGATGGGACACGATGGAGGCGCTCCGGCTCCGAAGGACCAAGAAATGTTGGGGGAAAACTCTGTAAAAACCCAGGAGAAATAAAGACACAATGAGACAAAGTTACTTTCTTTATCAAACGTGTACACGGGTGAGCTGCTAAGAACAACTCACACCATGCACAGTGGCTTGGTAATTTTTATAGGAAAGACAGTGAGAACAGGATAAGAAAATACAAAACAAATAAAATAAACAACTCCATATGTGGCGCTAGTCTCGTCAGCAGAGAGCTGGGAGAAGGCTGTGAGAGATAAAACAATCTAAAACAATATGTCCCAAAACAGTATGTCTTTGCTGAGAAAGTCTAAAAAGATTATTCTAAACTAATCTAACCTTAGGCAAAGGGCAGACAAAAGGCATCTTTGTACATTTAAAAGAAGGTAAAGAAACATAGAATCATTTTTCCTGTAACAACTATGTTACTCTGTTTGTGTCAGGGGACCCGATCCTTGGGGTGGACTAATTTTTGCTCAGCGTGTTTTGGGGTTTAAAAGCCACAGAGACACGGTGTTTAGGAAAAATGTGTCTCAACTGCTCCGATACTCCTGACACATATGGGATCACTACAGGTTTTCTCTTAGGCAGCGGTTGTCCTTCTGTCCTGGATCATCTGCAGCTTTCTTTAGGTGCCTTCCCAGCTTTGACAAAAGTCCAGCTGGTATAACCACATCTACTCAGGGCCTTCTTGATGTGATGTTCTTCTGCCTCCCTGGCTGCTGTGTCAGTGGAGATGGTGTTCACTCTGTGTTGTAGCGTCCTGATGACACCCAGTTTGTGCTCCAGTGGATGATGAGAGTCAAACCTTAAATACTGATCCGTATACGTAGGTTTACGGTTCACGTCAGCTTTTAGATGTCCCCCATTACTGATGGAAATCTCACAGTCTAAGAAGGCTAACCTGCCACTGTTCATATCCTTCCTGGTGAATTTGATGTGTCGGTCCAGCGAGTTAATGTGATCCATGAATTGTGGTATGTCCTGAGATTTAATTTTCACCCAGGTGTCATCCAAATACCTGAACCAATGGCTTGGTGGTGTTCCAGGATAGGATAGCGAAACCCTCTTTTTCACTTCTTCCATGTACAAACTGGCCACGATGGGGAAACTGGGAAGCCCATGGCACACCCACGTTTCTGCCTGTGGAACTGACCCTTGTATGTGAAGTAGGTGGAATGAAGACACAGTTCCAAAAGTGAACACACTTGGTTGATGCTGAAAGTGGTCCTGTTGCTGAGGTTGGTGTCATCCTGTAATCTCTTACGGACTACCTCCAACACTTCTGTGACTGGGATGCAAGTGAAGAGAGATGTAACGTCGTACGAGACCATGGTTTCATCTGCCTCCATAATGACATCTCTCACCTTCTCAACAGAATCCAAAGTGTTCTGGATGTGGTGCTCAGAGCTGACTACCAATGGGTTGAGGATTGAAGCCAGAAACTTGGAGATGTTATAGGTGACCGAGTTGATCATGCAGACAATCGGTCTTAAAGGTGCACCCTGTTTATGTATCTTCGGTAAACCATACAGACTTGGTGTAGATTCCCCTGGGTATAGCCTGTGATATGAGGTCCGGCCAATAGCCTTGTCTTGCTCTAACTGCTTCAGACAGTCTATCCTTCCTGTAGCCACTTCCTGGGTCTCGTTTCAGGGGCTCATAAGTACTTTTGTACCTGAGCAGTAACAAGATTTTCTCATGACAGTCTTTCTGGTTCAGCAAAGCTTTGTATCTACCCTTGTCTGCCAAAAGGATAATAATGTTGTTGTCATTACTAAGGGATGTGAGTGCCTTCCTCTCCCCCATGCTGATGTTGGAGGCTGAATTTACTATTTATACAGTTGAGGAAACCTGCAGTCAGCTGAGAATAAAGAAGTCGCTTGACTCAGGCGGTAGAGCAGATCAGCTGCTGATTGGAAGGTTGGCGATTCAATCCCTGGCTCTCCTAGTTTGCATGCCAAATATCCTTGGGCAAGATACTAACCGACTTGTTCTCATTTATACACATTCATATCTCTGATATGAATGTGTATAAATGACAGTTAGAAAGCACTGAAAGTATAGATAACAGTGCTTGTGTGTGAATGGGTGTGTATTGCTGAATGTGACGTGTTGTATAGAGTGCTTTGAGTACTCCAGGAGAGTAGAAAAGCACTATATGTGAATCAGTCCATCTACCATTAGTGACTAAATGTTTCTCTCACTGAAAACGCTACTTACAGATGAACAGAATCAAATTTTGGGGATTTCCTTAGCTGGATGATTGAGCATTCATCAAGAAGTCAAGCCTACTCCATAAAGTCTTGTCCAGCACATTTCAGAAATTCTCACAGGGGTGAAGGCCTGGATTCTTTTAAGAGGCCATTTCTGTTTTGCTTTGCTCAAGCTTTCATGTATTTACAGTAGTGTTATTTTAATCTGTGCTGCTTTTATCTACAATGTATGTAAACAGACCAGTGTGATGCCACTTTGGAAATCCAATCCTGTTTTAGAGCATGTGTAAACCAAAAAGTAAGTCTGGGAAACAGATGGAAGGTTAAAGGTTAAAACTGAGATGAGCTACATGTGAAATATAGTTAAAGAAAAAGACCAAAAGTAGAAGATCTAATTATTATTTTAAATTAAGCACGTTATTTGCCAACAACTTTTCAAAACTTTTTTGTTTTTGAATGCAAACCTTATTTTTTTAAATGGAAAAAAAAAGAATGTTTATTATCATTTTAATACCAGAGAAACACCAATTTGTTAAGAAATTAACAATAAACTTTATTGAAAAACTGTTTGATTGTACTTTGTTTATTTGTCTAGTTGTTTAGTGTATGTCAACACTGATACAACTGTTAGGGTACTTCAAATATAGATTGCAGTGAATTATAATCCATGTGGAACTTTATGATATTTTGGAGTTTTGTTTGAGAAAATTTTCTCTACCTAGAATTTCTTACATTTTAATTAAATACCCCAGGTCTAGCGACTTCAGTAGTAGAGCTCGTCAGCCTCTGAGGAGTGGTGATATAAATATTACTTCGTTTTTATTGTGTTTAAATATCAAGAACAATGAAACTAGTTAAAAGGCAAGGAAAAAAACTACTGATAATGTGACATTCATATTTGTAAGTATCTGCAAATCCATCTGCATCATGCTTACATAAAGTTAGTGAGAACCCAGATTGTCGTTAGAAATGATTGTATGTTGACTCCAGCCCAGCAGCCAGAGCCTAAACTTTTCTTTTTTTTCCTCTGTCCCGTTTGGTTCTTTTGCCATCAAAATTATTGTCAAGAAAGATGCCCAACGGATTTACTATACCAAGTGGACCATCCCAGCCTTGCCGTATTGGTCCATTTGATTGACCTTTGTTTTTATTGTTTATTTATTTTATTTTATTTTCAGTTGTTACAGACAGGACAGACATGACTGGGGAAGGGAAAGGGAGAAAGAAAGAGAGAGAGGGAAAGAAAACCAGCTGGGAAGAGGAACGGTGATAAAAGGCACACAAAAAAAGGTGGGAGGGGGGGCAAAAAGTACATATATGTATATATATATATATATATGTACACGCATATACATGTGTATATAACAGTAAATACTACATATTGAATATTATTTTGTAGCAGATAAGATCGACAGCGCACAGTGTGCTTTGAGGTAGCAGCCAAGAAAGGTTTAGTTTGTGTCTGTGAGCACCCGTGTGTACACCTGTGGGCATGAGCGCGGTTGTATTTAAAAGGTTCCTTCATGTAATGATCTACTAGAGAAGGGTGGGCAACTCCAGGTCTCGAGGGCCGGTGTCCTGCAGGTTTTAGATGTGTCCTTGGTTCAACACAGGTGATTCAAATTGCCTCACCCCACCCCTATAGGGGCCCAACCGAGCCACAGGCGCCAGGCCCCGACAAGCAGCCACCGGGAGTGAGCCGGTGCATACTTAAACTTCAACACCAAAATTGTCATGACCAGTCAAGCTTGTAGGACTGTGAGTCCAGTCCAGTCTACCAGTCCAAGGTACCTGTAGCTATCCACAGCCTCAATGTCCATGCCTTGGATGCTTAGTGGTTGCAGTGGAGGATGTTTGTGTTTACCACCAGCTCCTTGGTTTTTCTAGTGTTGATCTGGAGGTAGTTCTGCTGGCACCAGTCCACAAAACCATGGGTCAGTCCTCTGTACTCCTTGTCGTCCCCATCAGTGATGAGGCCGACTATTGCTGAGTTGTCAGATAACTTCCGCAGGAAACACTGGGTGGAGTTGTGGGAGAAGTCTGCAGTGTAGATGTTGAAGAGGAACTGGAGAAATCAAAGAACATGATTCTCACAGTGTTCCCAGCAGTCTCCAGGTGAGAGACCTGGTTTACAAATTTGCTGTCAGCTTTGTGGTAAACCTTAAAAAATCTCCTGTGTTTCCGCATTAGAATGGGATTTGTTTCAGTGTGACAGCAGCTTCAGGTTTATAATTTTAACTGGTAATCATGTCACAGTGCTTCTTAAACCAACTGAAGTAATTTAAGTTGAATGAATTATTTTCTTTCAGGGATAAAGAAGGAAAGCAATGCTTTACTTTTTACACTGAACACAACAGTATACAGATTTTAAATGAAAATATTTTATACCATATGATAGCCACAAATCTTTTTAGTGGCTTTTGCAATAGCATTTCTTCATTGCTTCATTAGACCAAAGACAAGTAGCGATTGTTAAGAAACTGTTTTTAAAAAGTCATCAGTGTCATCCAAAGTGTTGTTTGACCACACATTTCACTACAGATAATTTTAATTATATTATTTTGTTTCTGCTTTATTTGGTTCATTTCCTTTGCAAGTTTTACTTTGTTGAGCTGTTTTGTTTTATTTTACTAGATTATTTTTATACTTCATTTAAGCTTTTATATTATTAGTTGTGTTTAGGTTTTAGCTGATCTAACAGGATTTGTTCTGTATGTTATACTCACAGGTGCATCTTTCTTAAGGATGTTTAGGATATGGGCAGGAGTGACCTTGTACCGTATGTATTTGTAGGAGTTTCCCTGTAAGGAGGA